TAACTTCTCCAACAGCAAAACGAAGTGGCCAGCCATCTTGAGGATGCGAATGATCTACAAGAGGGCTTCTTTCCGAATGACGACAAGACCCAGAAATATGGAAACCTCCTCTTCCTTTTACAATCCGAACCCCGCCATATCGCCCATCTATGTCGTCTGGTGACAATGGCTGAAATCGATTCACTGCTTCAGACAGTCATGTTCACCATCTACGGCAACCAATATGAAAGTCGAGAGGAGCACTTGCTATTAACCATGTTCCAGTCCGTCCTAACCTACCAATTCGATAATACCCCAGAATACTCCTCTCTCTTACGCCAAAACACCCCTGTTTCCCGCATGATGACTACATACACCAGGCGAGGCCCCGGACAGGCTTATTTGAAACAGGTATTGGCCGATCAGATCAATTCTCTCATCGAGTTAAATGACGTCGATCTGGAAATCAACCCGTTGAAAGTGTATGAGACTATGGTACAGCAAATCGAAGCATCCACCGGATCTCTTCCACCATATTTGGAAAAATCAGTCACTGCAGAGGTAGCGGCAGAAAACGAACAAGTTCAGCAGATCATTACCCCGCGGCTAAAGATGCTGACAGACATTGCAAATACTTTCCTGGAAACCATCATTCAGGGTCTTGAGGAAACCCCTTACGGTATTCGATGGATTTGCAAGCAGATCCGAAGTTTATCGAGACGAAAATACCCCGATGCTCAGGACCAGACTATTTGTACGTTGATTGGCGGCTTTTTCTTTTTGCGATTCATCAACCCTGCCATCGTTACACCTCGATCGTACATGCTCATTGAGGCCACGCCGTCCGACAAACCCCGCCGCACCCTTACCTTGGTCGCCAAGATGCTGCAGAACCTGGCGAATAAACCGTCCTATGCCAAGGAGCCTTATATGGCCAAACTCCAACCGTTCATTCATGATAACAAAGAGCGAGTGAACAAGTTCCTGCTAGACCTTTGCGAAGTTCAAGACTTTTACGAGAGTTTGGAAATGGATAACTATGTAGCGTTGTCGAAACGTGATTTAGAGCTCCAGATCACCCTGAACGAAGTCTACGCTACGCACGCACTTCTCGACAAACATTGCGCTTCTCTAGCGGCTCAAGACCAGCATTCCCACCTGAGCCATTTGTTACAGGAACTCGGCCCGGCCCCACCGCAGCTACCGCGCAAGGAAAACCGAACAATCAATCTCCCGCTGTTTAGCAAATGGGAAACAGCCATTGATGACTTGACTTCCGCGCTAGATATTACTCAAGAGGAAGTTTACTTCATGGAAGCCAAATCAACCTTTGTCCAGATCATGCGCTCCCTACCACATAACACATCCGTAACTCGGCGACCACTTCGACTCGACCGGATAGCCGAAGCAGCAGCCACGCTAAAGAACGATGCCGTCATGGTTAGAAAGGGGATACGTACCATGGAGCTCTTAAGCCAACTACAGGAGCTTGGCGTCATCGATCGATCGGATGATTTCAGCCTGTTGCGCGATGAGGTGGAACAGGAACTTGTGCATCTAGGCTCCCTAAAGGAGAAAGTCATCGAAGAAACTCGGAAGCTAGATGAGGTATTCCGCACGATACGCGACCACAATGCCTACCTCGTTGGCCAGCTGGAGACATACAAATCTTACCTGCATAATGTGCGCAGCCAGTCCGAGGGCAAGCAGCGGAAACAGCAGAAACATCAGGAGCTGGGCCCGTATAAGTTTACGCATCAACAGCTGGAGAAGGAAGGGGTGATTCGCAAGAGTAATGTTCCGGAAAACCGGAGGGCGAACATTTATTTTATGTTTAAGAGCCCCCTGCCGGGGACCTTTGTGATCAGCTTGCATTATAAGGGTGAGATACATAGTTCCTTTTTTTTCCTTAAAAAACCTCAAGTATGTTTGGCCGCCCTACTAACCACTCTGTTGATTTTTCTTGCCTTAGGTCGTGCACGAGGTCTTCTAGAACTAGACCTGAAACTCGACGATCTTCTGGAGATGCAGAAGGATAACCAGGAAGATCTTGATCTGGAATACGTCCAGTTCAACGTCTCCAGGGTTCTTTCGTTGCTAAACAAACGGTTCGCGCGGAAGAAGGGGTGGTAAGGAGAGAAGAACGGTTTACTCCAAAAAAAATAAATAAAAAGTTAAAAAAAAAAAGACCACCTGACGACCTCCAACCGCCCTTGAAGAAGAGAAGACGGGGAGCCAAAACGCCCCTCGAAGCATGACCTGATGTAATATTTTGTGGCTTATCACTTGCTGCTACGTTGGGTTCTCCCCTTTTTGTTCAATTATCGAACGGAACGAATATGTTGATGAGCAAAAGAATGAATGAGAAAATCCAAGAATAGTAGGCATATGCGAAAGTAAAGGTGGAAAAAAAGACAGAAAGCGCATCCAATCGCATCCGACCCCAACCGAGTCAATGCATTCTCTCCTTCCTGCTCTATGCCTGATGTCTTCAATACTTCCAAAACGGCAAAAGGGAGCGGCTGGAGGAGGATCTTTGAGCTTGAAGACGCGGTGTTGCTCTTTTTTCTCTACCCGGCCTCTGCGTATGCCATTTCCACTTTTTCAAGCAAATCTGGGAAACAATGAACTGCGTCGGATTTTATATTTTTACTTTATATCCCCCCCTCATCTCTGGAGTGTTTAACTGGTATGGTTTCTGTCTAGTCTCCTTTTTGATGCCTCTTTTTCAAAGTTTCTGATGTTGCCCTGATTTGTTCTTTGTGTACGTTTGTCCTGGGTTGTCTTGCTATGTCTTATTTGTGTCATTCCGCTCTGCTATGTTTTGCCTTTTTTTTCTGACTGTGATTATTTGATATCCCCTTTTCTTTCTCTTTTCTTTCTTCATCCCCTCAACCTGGTTACGTATCCCCAGCGTATTTTCAACATTCTCAAGTATTCGAAAGTTTCCCCCAGCCTCCCCGTTTCCCAATGCCAGATTTCTCAAATTACGCCCTCCATTCATCCATTCCGAACGCCAATCGGGGTCTTCCTCTTGAACACACCACGACGGCTTGCCCCATCGGATGAAAATATGTATCCCGTTGGGAGAAACGAATATAACGAAATTACATGTCTTCTCTCCACATGCACACCCACAGACCTACACCCACGCACGCGCACACACAAACGCAGATACGCACATACGCATACCCATGCCTATACATATATCATACGTACCTGTCCATATACCCTGCAAAGGCGGAAATGGGCGATGAACGCCAGCTTGTTTATTTCCTCTGGAAGGATAAATAATACAAAGCCCGCTTATTATAAATAACCCATTTTCTCTTCCGATATCTCTCTCATCTCTCCTCTCCTCTCTCGCCCTCTGGTTTTTTCAGTACAACATCGTACGATCCGCTGTTTATCTTTAAAAAAAAAAAAAAAAAAAAAAAAAAAAAAAAAAAAAAAAGAAAAGAAAAGACTTTGTTCCTTTATTTTCATTTCTTTTCTTTTCAGCCTGCAGATTGTGCAACGATGCATTGTCTCATACCATTTTGTTGCCTGCCCCCGCTTCGCTAGCCATCTTACCCTGTTTTCAGGTTGGGGCTCCCTTTCTGTGGTTGTTTTTGTTGATTTACCCCTTTTTTGCTTCTTCATCTTTCTATCTCACCAGTAATACTCTCTTTCTTTATATCTCTACCATGTCTATTTGATATCCCTGTATTTTTTTATTATTTATTTTTTTTGCTTGAGACGTCTTGCTATGGCTTTTTTTTTTCCCTTCATCTCAAAGACAAACCTTTTTAATTTTTCATTTTTTACCGGTTCGTCTTATCTTACCATCTTCATTTCCCTCAGCTCTGGTTTTATTTTTATTTTTATTTTATTTTTTTCATTTTTTGTTTGTAATATTATTATTCAACACAGGCGGCAAGGGGAGGTAGGGTTGTGGCTGTTTTGCTGCTTTTTGTTTGTTCTCTTCTGTTTCTCTTTTCAGTTTATTCATTTTGTTTTATTTTACTTTATTATTTCATCTGATCCCCGATCCTCCATACATATACATATACATATGCATACACATACACAATACACACACACATACATAAAGCTAAGCACTTAGCTAGGTCTAAGGCTGAGAGTATTTATTCTGATGATAGTTAATTTATAGCTGATCTAAGTGGTTAACTTGAAGGGTTTGATGCCTGTGTCACTTGAAAGAGTTGTGGAGAAAGAAAAGCAACTTGAAGGAACATGGTCCTTTTCCCCCAATTTTTTTTTTTTTTTTTTTTTTTTTTTTTTTTTTTAAATGAATCAGTGAAAAGAGCCCAATGAACTCAGAAGCGTTTCTAGACTTCTCAAGAAGTAGAATATACTCATTTGTCTGGAGGGGGAAAAAAATAAAAAATAAATAAATAAATAAATAAAAATAAAAATAAAAATAGAAATAGAACTAGAACTAGAACTAGAAATAGTCTAGTATTTTCCCCACCAACAGACAGCGGTGACAGACCGCCATCTAACCATCTCCTTCCACGCTAACAACCGGAGACAGACTGGCAGCTCAATAATGGGTTTGGAAGGAATACCACTTGGTGAGGAAAATAGAAATAGAAATAGAAATAGAAATAGAAATAGAAATAGAAATAGAAATAGAATAAATAAAATAAGCAAACAATGATAGAAAGAGACAGAAACCGAGTTGTCGCTCCGCTCCTCTCTCGCCTCCTCCGCCCATTCATTCGGTTCTATCTCCGCCTTCGAACCAAACCAAACTAAGCAACAACCAACAAATTTCCAACTCCTCCTCCTTCTCCTGAACAGTTATTAGTTACTACTACCAACCCTCCTCTCCTCCTCTCCTCCTCTCCTTTCCTTTTACTCTCCTCTTCTTTCTATCTCTTCTTTCTATCTCTTCGTTCTATCTCTTCTCTTCTCTCTCTTCTCTCTCTTCTCTTTTCTCTCCTCTCTTTGCCTAACCCCCAACAACACCACACTCAACCACTCAACCACCCCCCTCCCCCGCCCCCCCCCACAAAAGAAAAACCAAAAACCTACCAATCCAGAAACAATGACAAGTACACCCACACCCACTCCCACACCCGCTCCCGCGCCTACAACAACCCCCTCCCACTCCCTCACCCTCGACCCCAAGTACGACAACTACGATTTCCCAACCACCGCCCCGGACGCCCAGTCCGGCCACCCAGGCCACACCACCCCGGAGCAAGATGCGCAGGTCTACCAGCTGCGGGCCATGCTGGAGCAGCTCGGCTACACGGAACGCCTGGATACCCTGACCCTGCTGCGGTTCCTGCGAGCGAGGAAGTTTGATGTTGAGGCGGCGAAGGCTATGTATGTATTTTCTCTTATCGTATCCTTTGGGTTACCTTTTTTTTTTTTTTTTTTTTTTTTTTTTGGAAGGGGTGGTGGGTATGGTATGGGGATAAGTGGCCTATATATGCTAATATGTTCATGTTTGCAGGTTTGTCGGGTGCGAGAACTGGAGGAAAGAGTTTGGCACCGATGATCTTGTGAATACGTTCGAGTATCCGGAGAAACCGCAGGTGTTTGAGTACTATCCGCAATACTATCATAAGACGGACAAGGTGTGTTCAATCCATATCCCCTCGCCTTACAATAGGCAGAAACAGGTGTCTCCCGGAAGGACCAAATTGAGACATTGTCATACACCCGACAGCAGGGAACGGAAAGCTAACAAGTCACCATCATTTTACCATACATCTAGGACGGCCGTCCCGTCTACATCGAACAGCTGGGCAAAATCGACCTAAACGCCATGTACAAAATAACCACCGCAGACCGCATGCTGAAAAACCTCGTCTGCGAGTACGAAAAGCTCGCCGACCCGCGCCTCCCCGCCTGCTCGCGCAAGGCCGGCAAGCTCCTCGAGACCTGCTGCTCGATCATGGACCTCAAGGGCGTCGGCATCACCCGCGTCCCCTCCGTCTACGGCTACGTCAAACAGGCCTCCGCCATTTCGCAAAACTACTACCCCGAGCGCCTGGGCAAGCTGTACCTCATCAACGCCCCCTGGGGCTTCTCCAGCGTCTTCAGCGTCGTCAAGGGGTTCCTCGATCCCGTTACCGTGCAGAAGATCCATGTGCTGGGCGCTGGGTATGAGGCGGAGTTGCTGGCGCAGGTGCCCAAGGAGAACTTGCCGAAGGAGTTTGGCGGGGAGTGCCAGTGTGAAGGTGGCTGTGAGTTCAGCGACATGGGCCCCTGGCAGGAGAAGGAGTGGGCGAAGGAGCCGCTGTGGGCTAAGAAGAAGAAGACGGACGAGGCGGTGAAGGCGGAGGAGGCTGATAAGGAGAATAGTAAGGTGACGGAGGGGGGCGAGAAGGAGGGGGGGATGGAGAAGAAGGAGGCGGATGCTGCTGCTGTGTTAAGCAGCAGCAGAGTAATGGGGAGTTGACAGCATAAATAGTTAGATTTTTTTTTTTTTTCCTTAATTTTTCTTTTTTCTCTCTATTTTATTTCCTTTTTTTGAGGGTGCATTTTGTTCGTCCTGTTCCCTCTCATTTTTCTTTATTCTTTTGACTGATATAGAGAGAGAGTATCTGTGTGGGTGTCTCGTTATATACTTGATGGCAAATAATTCCTTCTCTGAAGTGTCCTAGGCTCCTGTCCCGCCCAAGAAAAGAAAAAAAAAAGCCCCATCTTTCAAATATACTCCACTCCCGTTTACATTGACGGGAGGGTTCATTTATACACACATATCACACACACATATATATATATATATACATATACAGCTTAGTGATCCTCGCCATTGACCTTGATTTTGTTTCTAGATCGATCAATCAGCTTTCATCCGCTTTTCATTTCTTGCTTGTCCTGTCCATCCAGTCCTTTCCTCGTGCTGGCATTTCTTCTTCTAATTCACCCCTCCCTCTCTTTTTCTGCGGTTCTATTCTGTTCACCCCCTAACCCTAAATGTCCATAGTTTTCATCTTCTTGCCTTGCTTAGCCCGTATATCTTTTACATACATCTACTGCTCTGCTAGCCCACGGGACTGTAGAGGGAGTTGGATTGATATATGAGGAATAAATAATGAGTAACTATGTGCAAGTTAAGCTTATCATGAGACATCTATGTACCTATCTCTTCGCAATTGGAAACGCCGGAAACAAACGACACCAGATATCCAACGAGGTCCCCCCAAATGCAGCAAACAACCAGCCGAATCCCCACGTCCAGTTCCCATTCCCAAGATCCAAGATCCAAGATCCAAGCATGTAGAAAACCCAAGACGCCACTACTCCTTACAGATATCAAAAAAAAAAAAAAAAAAAAAAAAAAAAAAAAAAATTTACATGAAAGGGAAAGAAAACGTCCGATGATGCGCCAACCACATTTCCTCATAAATTCTCTACTACTTCCGCAGCCCGCTGCGCCCTTTCAACCTTCCCGACCGTCGTCGCCAGTCCGCGCTGCCCGTCAGAGTCATCTCCATCCTCATTGCCGCCATCATGCACACCCCCAACCCCTGCCACTTCGCCCTGCAATCTCAGCAACGTCCTCAATGCCTCCGCATATACATCGCCAACCCCACCGTCCATCCACCTCCTCTTCGCCCCCGCCGTCCTGCCAAAGGGAACATGTAGCGTGAAATCCTCTCTCCTGTTCCCGCGACTCTGCCTCTGAGCATCCCGCTGTAGCTGTGTCGGCTGGGCATCCCCACCATCCACATCCTTCATATCCACATCCCCCAAACCACCACCACCTTCCCCATCCCCTTCCAATCCCACCTCTTCCTCCTCCTCCTCCTCCTCCTCCTCCTCCTCCTCCTCCAAAACCCCCCTCAACGCCTCCGCATACTGCCCCGCCGCCTTCCCCGGCGCATCCCGCCTCAACTGCGCCACAGTCGTCGTCAGCGACTCCAACTGTGCATACAACCCCGCCACGCGCGCCGCCAGCTCAGTATCGTACGGCTCGTACTCGACCGCTTCGCGCACGTGGAGGAAGGAAAGAAGGTCCGCAGCGCCATTTGTATTGCTATTGCTATTGTTATTGCTATTGCCTGCGGCCGCCTCCGCTAGCGATAGCCCGTTTATGCTTATGGAGGGGGCGGCGGTGAGGAAGGTTTTGTGGATGAATTCGTCGACGAGGGCGCGGACGTGGGATTTCATGGGGTCGTCGGCGTCGGCGTCGGCGTCGGCGTCGGGGTTTGAGGAGGAGGAGGCATTGCTGGGGTTTGTAGTGGTGCTGGCATTGGGTCTGGCGGAGGGGGGGAAATGGAGGTCTAGTTTCTGGCGGGAGAGGGCGATGGTGTTTGTGTAGAGATAGGAGAGGTCGGCGGGGGATTGGAGCTCGATTTTGCGGTGGTGGGGTGTTTCCATGTTTCTGTGGGTGGATTTTTTTCCTATTTTTTGGGGGTCTTTACTATTTGGTTACACCGCTTGTATGGCCCATTTATTTTGGTAGGTGTTTTCTTCCGTAGAGGTGGAATGGATTGGTATCGATTCAAAGATTTCATGCTCCAATGGCCTATTGATTGTTGGACTTCGCGATGTTTACGCTCAGGCCCGATTTAGCCTAGCGTCGCTGCTCTCTTGATGTCATAGTTGCGACGGGACAAACCTTGGAATATAATAACCATGTGAAAACGAAAAACATCACTCACACCTTTCAAGCTTCTAGCCTCACCACGAAGACAGGGATGAAGAAGAAAAGGAAAAGCTCTGAGTATATATTTAAATTCAACGCCTTTTAGAGTTCTTTTTGTCTCTCTCCTACTAATAGATCATATTGAAGGAGCTCTCTTAGCAGCCCGCGACTGCTCTACAACCGTGGAAGTCCTCCACAAGTATGGGTTCGGCTTCCACGCTTCCTCCTACTTTTCCTGACACTACTACTACCTATTCCTAATACTCGCTATAAAACCCGCCGCATACTATACTTGGGTTTCCATCCTCAGCGTATCAGCCTAACTATCAAATGTCGACTGTGCCTGGGATTTCCCTTATCGACAATACGTCTACAACAACCTCGGTTGAGCGGACACCCTCCAGGAACGTTGGCCTTGAACAAAGCCCCTCAACCGGCTCGCGCACGGCTACGGCGTTAACGAAGAAGTTGAGAAAGGGTTCCATGAAGGATAGCCTAGCGCGGAGGAAATATGCAAAGTATCAGCAGAATCGATACAATACCGGCGATGGCACCGATTCCATCGACGGGGACAGCGAGGCCCGACATAGTCGGGAGCCATCGCTGTCGCAACGAGGCTCTGCCGATATGGGAATGGAACATTGGCGTTCCGGAAATACTACAAAGCTTGGTAAACAAATTGCCACTGATGTCTCATCGGAGGTCGCAGCTGTATCATCACAAGCCAGGCAGCACCCTGGGGCTAGCGAAAAGAGCGCGATTGACGTGTTGTACGAGAATCAGCGGGGCTGGTGGTTCTTCGGGATACCCCTATACTCAGCAAAGTCCCTTTTGAACCTCGATCCGTCTGCTTGGCTGACCCGCAACTTCGAGGTTAGCCCCGTAAACATTACCAATGCGCAGGTGCCGGACCCTAGCTGGGAATGGGCGTGGGATACCTGGTACATAGATATGTCCTATGACGTTGATGAGGCTGGGTGGCAGTATTCCTTCTCCTTTTCGTCGCGCTTTGCATGGCATGGTACGCATCCGTGGTATCACTGCTTTGTACGACGCAGAAGATGGCTGAGGAAAAGAGTTAAGAAGACATACATTGGCCCCGAGGAAGACATCGCTGTAGGAAAGGCATGCGCGCCGAATTGGGGTTCCTTTGCGGTTAGTTCGTCCCGGGCACCGAGCGCTGAACCTGAGAGTCGGCGAGGAAGACGGCGCGCTGTTTCGACTGTTAGCGCGAGAGCGGAGGACTTTGTTCCCGAAGATATCACCAATATCGGTACGCTGTTAAGCGCAATGAGGTGGGCTGCGTTGGATAGGGACAAAATCCTCGCCGTTCAGCATTTTGTGAAATATGCGGACGAGGAATTATGTTTACTTTCGGAAAAGGTAAGAGCTCCGAGTGTTTCTATTGTCTTCCTGCACACTAAAATTTTCTTGTTCTTATTCTTGTTTCAAATGTAATGACGAAGGTATTTACCTCAATTTACAGATGCCCGAGGTTTTATCCACTTTAGTATACCATACTTCTCGCCGGCAGCTATTGTACTACATACGACACACTATCGAGACCATCCCCGCGGATTCTGAAGGCGTTCAGAAACGAAGACGAGACAGCCTTGTCAAAATCATTGAGGATGGGCGGCTGACAGACCTAGAGTTCTGGAAGGATGAAAAGGTGCTGACTCGAGAAAAGGGGAATGGTTCTGGTGACAGAGGAGGTAGTGAGCGGGCTGATCAATTATCTTCTAGAAGGTCTAAAGGAAAGGCAGTTGTACGGAATATTGCGGATATGGAATAGGCTGGGGTTAGGAAGACGCGAGACTGTTCTTCAGGATTTAATTTTGCGACCCCCTGACTATTTTCTTTTCCCGTTCATATGCACTAATTTTAAGCACAGCCAGTCAAGCGATGTTCGCAAGGGGCGTTACAGGCGTCTACTAGATAGCTTTATTCATGGAGACAACTTGTTACAAACCTCTCCTTTACACGTAACTATCCTTTCCTTTATGCCCTCCAGTTGCTTCGTTAAGAGGCTCTATATAGATCACCACGTGATTGATTGTTCGCCTAAACTTTCCGTTTCTCAGCTAGTTAGTTACTCTCTTGCCAGCTAGAAGAAAGTTTAGGCGAAAAAAATATCCCTAACGCGAGGTCCAAACTGATGAAACGTCTGCAAGGGAATATATCAGAAAAGCTTTAGTATGATATAGATATTTACTCCACACGAAGCCACGAACAACACGCCGGGTGTCACCCCGTTTGAGTCCAATGCTCCCCGGCGCCCGGCATGGTTTGAGACGGTTGTCTTTCTCCCAATCTCCCTTTGACCATGCTACCCCTTCCCGCAACGAACTTTTCTTACCTTTCCTATACCCGCGGGAGTCCTTCTCTGTACTGACCCAAGAGAGATATGTGCGACGTTCACTGTTCTCTCTGGCGGTGGGCAATAACCGGTTTAATGGGTCATCATCATCCAATTGTTGCAGACACACCAGCCTGAATCCTCACCGTACTACGAGAAAATATACCGCGCCGCCCTCGGCGTCGAATGTTTCGGATTCTACACACGCTAGCGAGTTAGGCAATCATGATAATGGTGGAGAGTCGAAGGAAATGGATACTGGCGCATCCAGCGTCCACGATACTTGCTCCACGGCTAGCGACGCATCGTCCGAGTCAAGCTCCGAGCAATCTATGGATGTATTCAAAGAAGTTGAGGCCATTGAATCCAACAGTAGTGGCATAGTCCGGCAAGTTCGCGCGGAGAAGTGGTGGAGGAAGCAATTGGAACGAGAACTAGCGGGTAAACCGCCGCTTAGGCAAAACAGGCTCTATTTGGAATGGACGGATATAATGAATGAGATCATGGCCCTGAGGCGCGATACGGCAAACATACCTGCTCCGTCATATGCTAAAACTATATACTTGTCCGAACCGGAGGTCGTCGCTCTGGCTGGTGATGAGAGGGAGAACGTGTGGGATATCAGGGTGTTGAGCGGGTGCCGTGTCCACATACTGCCACGAGAACGCGAATCTCGGGATTCCACGCGCAAGGTGGTCCTTACAGGCTCTCCGGAAGCTGTTAGACTAGCCGAGGAGGAGATTAGATCGGCCATCGAAATGGTCCATGAAGCTGACGGTAGTGTGCAGCCTGACTCTCTACCTCTCTTTGTGACTGCTCATGATTGGAAGCAGGAACAAGGGATGGATACTCCAACGATCCGATCGGTCTGGACACATAATGTGCCATTGATAGCGGAAGGGAAAAGATCAAGAATCCCCGTCCGAGCAGATGCTTTCCGAAAGCCCGAGAAGTGGACTATCAAGAGTTTTGGCGACTATCTCGAATCACTTACGAATCTCGCTTTCTCAACTTCTATTCATAACTTGTTGTATTCGGATGGACAGCTAAACCGAGATATGATCATTGATATAATACGGGAGCTTTTCACGAGTCCAGACATGCAACAGTTTCTGTCCACTAGAGCAGTGAATTCTGTCATTTTCTATTGCTACCGATACCCCCAATATCTACCAGTACTTTTATCTCTATTCCCGAATTTTGAGCACCTGATGACGACTAGGACTTTTAACGCCTTGCTCACGGGCTGCTCTAAGAGCCATGACCTAAACAGGTTTCGTTATCTCATCTCCCTGATGAAGCGATGCGGGGTTAAACCGAATGGTGTGGAGTGGGTAGCTTTTATTGACACTATTCTGTCAACCGGTGTGAGGCAAAAAGTGGTCGCGCGCCTGCGCAAGGAGAGACTTCTGGATAATGAGCGTATCCTTCGTCGTCTCGTATACCGGATCATTCCAGACTCGTTCACTTCACATTTAGACAGTGGCCAGTCCGTTAAGGACTATATTGCAGTGATGGATAAAAGATACGGAAAGAACTGGATATGTACCGACTCAATAACACATATGCTCGGCGTAACTGTGCGTTTACACAATACCGAAGCAGCTCGCGAGATTATGCAGTTCTGCAAGCAATCGCGGCTAAAGCTGGATGTCCAGGGCATGAATTACTGCCTTGCGGTGCATCTCAATAAAAAGCAGTACTCAGAAACAATCGCCGTCTATTTGGATCTTATCAGCAAGTACCGTCGGCTCCGAGCAAATAACGAAACTATCCGAATTCTCTTCAGCGCCGCATGGCAGGCTAGACACTACAACACCTGCCGTGTCATTTGGGCCTATGCCTGTTTCTGGGGCTTCACAACCAGCAGCATGAAACACATGGTCCTATTCTCCCTCCTCCGAAACACAGTACCCACAATGGGCGACGAAGCGAGGCAAGACTGGCTTAAAAAGGCCGGCAAGGCCATTGCTGGAATTAATCCTATTATGTCTGAACTTGATTCTCGTTTTGACGTCCTTAGAAACGCACCACGTACTCCTGCTCAAGAAATGCTGGGGAGCGATAGCGTTATGTCCTTGTTGACAGAGTATCAACCCGCCGGTGAACTGCGGAGCCGGCAGCGGAACCTTGCCCTCTGGATCATCCACGGGGACTTCCTCGCGGCGTGGCGTTATAAGCCGCGGGTAAAGTTCGAGGAAATGATGTGGGAGGCTAATATGCTTGATATGGCGTGGTGGGCAGAGGGTCACGCTAGAAATATGTCGGTTACGGAAATTGTTAGAGACGTGATCAGAATTCCCGTGGATGAGAAGAACAGGTGGAAGAAAAGGACGAAGGAATATGGTAACGAGCAATTGGAGGATGAAATAAGAGAGGAGCAACAACAGCGACAAGAAGAAGAAGACAAAGAAGAAGAAGAAGAAGAATTGGATCAGCAACCACAGGAGCCAGAGCAAGGGCCAGAAGGACGTTTAGAAGGCCGGCCAGAAGGACGGCCGGAACAAGTGCTGGAAGGAATACTAGAACGAGAACTAGAACGGAACCTAGAACAAGAACAACGACGACGACGGCAACAGCAAGATATAAAGGGGAAAGAAGAGGAGACGGGAGAGGGTGTTAACAAAGACGCAACCATTGTTTCTAATGCAAGATCTGCTCAGCCTGAGCTACAGTTGGAGCACACGGGACATAAAGAGGGATGGATGGGAGGGTCGGTTTCAATAGACGAAGTTAAGGAAATGTTTGAGAGAAAGGGTATCTCCTGGAAAGGGCCAGGCAGCCCTTGAATGCTTACGAGTGACCTCGGCCTGTTATATTCTGCTTTATATGTATTTATATAGATCCCCAACACCATCTGTATATCGCTTCTTCCACATCTTCATGATTCCCTCCCTCGCCTTTTTCCATCTATGTATTGTATTTTACCTTATATCTGACTTGTTCTCAAGTTTCTTGCAAACTACCCGACCGGACTCTGTTGGGGAACGGTGCACTGTTTTTGCATTGTCTGAATTACTATCTAACATCGATATTTCTCCAAAGATATTGCCTTGATCCTTGATCATGTTAATAGGATCATCAAACTGGGGGGTATCTAACAGTTTAAGTGAAATTAAACCTTCGCTCTCTATCTCCTATTGCCAACTCCTTTATGCAAAAAGTGCCTTGGATGCATCCCTGTGGTTTCTTCGGGTTGATAATCACGGCCACGCCCATTGGTGACTCACGGGGGATGCTGAGCCTTGTTCTGGATACTGGGTTTTAAGGGAAGGGATGGAGAAATGGACCTATCTATCATCCCCATTAATTCGCAGGCTTTTTGGAATCCACTGTTGAACCCTCGTGAGTCCTCCCTTGCGTAGGTCGGCTTCAGCGGCTTCCTCCGTCTCGCCAACCCATTTATCCCATAGCACATTGAAACTGAAATTGCACTGACTAATCAGCAAACGTGATGCCCCGGATGTTCCCCATTTTCTTGCATTGGTAGTCCGTCCGGATGACACCCATATGGATCGAAGGTGGTCGGAATGTACCCCACACCTTCCTTCAGATACAGTACGAGCCGGAAGGCAGAGTTGCCATTGAGATAGTAGCGGTGGAGTTTCTTGCTGCGCAGGAAGCCTAGACGCTCGTATAATTTCATAGCGGCGGTGTTGGTCGTTTCGGTTTCAAGGACGATCTAGATACGGAAGGATTGGATGTTAGTTGTCTGCTTGTGCTGGGAGGGATACCTCCGGCATTGTTGGAGCTGCCGCTCGAGTAGGACGAAACTTATGGTTGTTGGCGGGATAGCAAGGGAGCGGGAAAGAAATAGACATACCTCATCCGCATCTCTCGCAATCATGGCATCGATAGCCATGCATACGAGCTTCGTCGCGATGCCTTTGCCTCTATATTCTTCCCGAACGGCTAACATGGCGATATACCCGCGCAGAGGCCCGCCGCGATGCGGTTCGAGTTTTGATACGACAACCCCAATCAGATTGTCCTTTTCGTCCATTGCCTGTATATATAGTAAACGTGGTATTAGCTGAATGTATATATATATAGAGCTCTGGATTTCGTATGCGGGAGGCAAGGGTGCCTGGAGCGGGGTAATCTGAAATGCAACTTGGAACTTTTACCATGTAGCAGAGATCACCCCACTGATAGAGGAAATAGCGATAGACATAGATGCTGTACGGCTCCGAGAGATCCTTGGATATTAACTGGCGCATTGCAGAGACATATTCGTTCTCCTTGTCGCTTTCATACTGGATATAGCGGAGGTCTCCAGCGGAGGAGGGCGGGGATGCCGCAGTGTCGGCCATGGTGGATGTGGCAGGATCAGCGTTGCGATATCATGAGCAGCCCTCTTTTGTCGACTTTTTCTTTCGAGTTCGTCCAATTGGCACTCACTCCCATGTCGGTGATACGAAACCTGTCTCTCGGTGGTTGGGGTGGGGGATGTTTTTACACTCACTAGCTGGCGTTTCCACTCCCGATATTTATTTATAATATTTAGCTCTGGCCAACCCTTTCCAGCTCTTTTTTCCCCTTCCCTGATACATACACACCAAGCTCCAACTTTTCCCATGTGATTCTCCGTCTGTAATGACGGGCACTTTCGCCCAGTCGACGACATCCTTTATATCTATATATATATATATCTATAAGCTTCTGAAACAGCAGCAGAGAGAGATCTCTCCAATACTTCGCCATGTCGGGCCTGCGCCGTCGATTTGGGCAGATCTTCTCGACCTCTCCCCCGAGCTCTACATCCGAGATACCCGCCATCTCTACCCCAGACGACAGCAACAATAATGACGGTAATACCAACAGTAGCAGCAGCAATATCCTTTTGGCGCACAAGGATGGAGAGCAGCTTCATTTAGAAACGGACTTGAAGCTGCACCAAATCCCCGTGAAGCGGAGGAGCAAGCGGCGCAATGGGTTGATATTCGGACTCGGAGGCGTCTTTGGAATATTCTTGGCTCTTTTTTTCGCAAATCAGAATGAGGTTATTAGCTTGGATGCGCTGATGGACCTAAATTTGGATTCTTTGATTGATGTTATGCCCGCAGGCATTATCAGGGACGCAAGTCAATTTTCGGTATGCTCGACCTCTCAGAGTTTTCTTCTACCTCTACTTGTACTTTTTGGAAAACAAACACCGAAACTAGAACTAACTTATAATATTTTTCCTTCTTCGCCTAGCAAACGGAACGCGCAGCTGTTAGCTATGATGCTTTCTCGGTTGGTCTCGGCCTCAAGGCCCAGGGCATAGTAGCAAAGCACCCGGTCATTATGATTCCTGGGGTCATATCAACAGGGTTAGAGAGTTGGGGAACGGACGAAAAGTCAAGACAATATTTCAGAAAAAGATTATGGGGAAGTTGGAGTATGATGCGAGCGCTCGTCCTCGACAAGGCCGGTTGGAAAAACCACATTATGCTGGATAAGTTCACGGGCCTAGATCCCCCCGGTATTAAACTCCGCGCCGCGCAGGGGTTTGATGCAACAGACTTTTTCATAACGGGATACTGGATCTGGAACAAAATTTTGGAAAATCTAGCCACTATTGGCTATGACCCGATTAATGCGTTCTCCGCTGCTTATGACTGGCGCCTTGCCTATCTCAACCTTGAAATGCGCGACCACTATTTTAGCAGACTCAAGACCTACATAGAGACGGCCGTGAAGCTTTCGGATAAGAAGGTCGTGCTTGTTTCCCACAGTATGGGCTCGCAAGTTGCCATGTTCTTCTTCAAATGGGTTGAGAGTCCGGAACATGGAAATGGAGGAGCTGACTGGGTAGAGACCTACGTCGATTCGTGGATTAATATCAGCGGCTGTATGCTGGGAGCTTCAAAGGGAGTTCCAGCCATTCTGTCAGGAGAAATGAAAGACACCGCCCAACTTAACGCATTTGCGGTCTACGGACTCGAAAAATTTCTTTCCAAGGGGGAGAGAGCGGAGCTTTTCCGCGCGATACCTGGCATATCAAGCATGCTCCCCAAAGGCGGGGAGGCGGTTTGGGGCAACAATACCTGGGCTCCAGATGACCAAGAAGATCAACCCTTTACATTTGGCAACATGCTTAATTTCAAGGAGACGAATTCGTCAGACACGCAACAGAACCTGACTGCTAAGACCAGCCTGCCGTTCCTCTTCAAACACACGGAGCAATGGTACCGCGACCAGGTCCTCCAGAATTACTCCCATGGTGTCGCCCATACGACGGAGGAGGTCGAAGCGAACGAAAAGGACCCGCGCACGTGGTTAAACCCGCTGGAAGCACGCTTACCCCTCGCCCCCAACCTGAAGATCTATTGCTTCTACGGGGTGGGCAAACTCACGGAACGTAGCTACTTTTACCACGATGATACCGATCCGCTCTCGAAGCTCAATGTCAGCATCGACACAACAGTGACGAACGGGATCATAGATCGTGGGGTGGTCATGAGCGAGGGAGATGGCACTGTCAACTTGCTCAGTTTGGGATATATGTGTGCGAAAGGGTGGGGGATTAAACGATATAACCCCGCGGGCGCGAAGGTGAAAGTGTATGAGATGCCTCATGAGCCTGATCGTTTCTCACCTCGAGGAGGGCCCAACACAGGTACTTTTTCTTGTTCTTTTTTTTTTTTTCCTCCTTTCTTTCACGTTCTATCCCCCCGTTTTCGTCCAATACTACTTCACCGTTTTGCACCCCATTTTTAACTCTATACATCTAGGCGACCACGTCGATATTCTTGGGCGGTCCTTGCTCAATGATCTAGTTCTTCGCGTCGCAGGGGGCAGAGGCGACATGATCGAAGAGAACTACGTGTCACGAATAAGAGAGTATTCCGACCGCGTCAAGGTTTACGAAGAAGAATGAAGAAGTAAAACGAAAAAGTGCAGTAATTATACCTTACATTAATACCCCTCTGTGTATAAAAAGAAAACGAATTTCCTTCCCTTTCTCTATTCCCAAGGACGGCTTTTCCCTGGTGTCTTTGCCTACCTCCACATCCTCTCTATCCATATCTTTTCCTATTATTTTCTCCCTTTTGCTCTATTGGAAAGACTCCTGTGGAACGCATTGCATTCTCACTTTTTTTCCTTTCTTTTCTTTTCTTTTTTCCCCCCCCTTTTGGATTCCATCGTATATACCACTTCCGTTGTACCCGTTATACTTTGCTTTATACCACCCTCCTGTACATCCTGCATTGTTGTCGATGACAAACAGCGGTGTTTTTGCCCGTGGTTCTCCTTGTACAATGTTGGCCTTTTTGTATCCGGCCTGCTTCTTTTCTTTCTTTCTTTCTTTCTTTCTTTCTTTCTTTTTCTTTTTTCTCTTCTTTCTTCTTTCTTCTTTTTTCTCTTTTTTCTTCTTTCTTCTTTTTTCTTTTTTCTTTTTTCTTATCAGATCTGCTTTGTCATGCAGCCGCAGATATCTCACCTGAGAGAGAAATTCTGCTTAAAAGTCAGAAGACTTGAAAGGAAGAGAGGGAGAGACCTTGAATATGAAAAATATATTACGATAAATAAATATTTAACTATGGCAGTGTAGATTGGTAAACACAAGATATCAAAACAGGCACACGCAAGGAAACACTTCCAAACTCTCGCTCTGAATAAAAAAAAAAAGTGAAGTAAAGAAAAGAAAAGAAAAAGGAAAAAGTCGCTGAAGTGTGTTTGTATCCTTCGAGTGGGATGGACAGTTCCCGATACAAATTGAAGAAAATCCCTGAGAGCCCCTTTCACTTCCTACATGAATAGGGGTCGGTGCAGAGTTGATACGCGGATAAGGCGAACCTTTGAATTTGAATCAAAAACAAACAATCTAAAACGCTCTCCAAGCAAATAAACTCTCAAGATCAATATGGACATGTAGGTATCAAGACAGCGAGACGTAGACGGCATGTAAATGAAAAATAAAATAAAAATGGCCAAACCAAATGTAAGTTGAAAATAGCCACAGCATGATATTCTTCCTTTAGATTCCTACTCGAATCTCTCTGCACAGAACATCAATGGCAACAAGGAAAATGCCGATGGTGCCAACCTAACCGCTCAGGTTACTCCTCATTCCATCCATCGCAATGAACCTCACAGTTTATCAGCCTCGTTTTCTCCATTTATTTTTTCATTCGGCATCGACACAGTGATATCTACACCTAATGTGGCAGGCGACACTTGCCTTTCGTAGCAGACTCACCACTTGATGTCACGCAGTCCAAGCAGACACCACACATTCCCGCCGTCAATTGATGCAACTCCAGCCACAGCGATGACTTAAAGTCCCCATTAACAGGACGTGGATTATCCCAGTATCTTTTGGCGGCGTATGTACATGTACCTGGGGTTGCCCCGAATCCGGCATGCCGAACGCCTTGCTGCCAAGGAAAAGGCAACCGGGGCTCCGCATATGCGAATCTCAGATAGTTTGGTGCAGGTCTCTGCGACGCTGAATTTCTGTGATGCGATCGTAAGTGGCCACAGGCCAGACCTGCTGAGTGCTTTGCGAATTCTGAGGATGAACTGGGCTCTGCCGGCACATCGTCTGTTCTGAATGTCCCCGATGGCTTTTTCCCACTCATGGACCTGGGGAAACTAATTCTGCATTCCTTGCTTTGAATTCCACTGGAAAAACGTAGGTGATGACAAAAAAGTGGTTTTCTTTTCCGTGGTTTGTGAGTGAAATGGGGGTAGGGCGCGGGTAATTAGGAAGATCCAGCCAGGTACTACTTACCGAGGATGTTCCCCCTAACGAGAATATGCTCAGGGAATTTATGGAAGTCGGTAGCAGGATATTTGGGTAGTATAGCCTTGGATATTTTGCCTAATGCACCTGGTAGATAGATCCATAATATATGAGAAATACAGAATCTCGAGGCTCTTTTCGAAGGTCATTCCGTCCCGCTCTAGCGCTTCAAGATGCCCCTGGAGCCATACGCCTGTAAATGGAAACAGGGGCTTCTCGCAGCAGTATTTGTCTGCTACGACTGCGAGATCGAGCAACTGAGAGGGCGTACGCTTTGTAGGGATCGCCTGAATTTTATGATGGAGAACACGAAACAGAAGTATCAATGCGTTGGCATCGTCGTCAAACAGCTGGATCACACAGACATTTTCCCCAGGGGCAAGAATTCGGCTCAGCCCGTTCGATACTTTCCTTCCAAGAGGAGTTGAGTTCGCGCGGTCGAATCGGTTGGGCGCCTCACAGAGCGTGTCGGATGAAACCTGAAGGTACAATTTCGTATTCTCTGGCATTTTGCGAATCTCCAAACAAATCTCGCTGTTGGTGTGGCAATCTGGATGACCTGAGGTTCTTTCTTCCATCCCATCACCGGATGTAGATGGCAGGGAAAGAGGTGTACAAAAGGTCAAACAGGATTGATAATAAAAAACAGAAGAAGAGAGAGTTTAATAATAAGCTCTGATATCTCAACAGAAGTTGAAAACATATAATTAACTTAAGAGAAAAAGATTATACGCAGTAGATGAAAAGTGAAGAGTCTAATAATAAGAGACTGAGTAGAGCTCTCTTTTCATTGATCAGTGTAGTTGTCAGTAAAAGTGAGAAGAATATGTTAATATTATAGTGTTGTATAGATAGATCTTCACTGAGCTCACTTCACATCAGTAATACTATAACAGACTAGATCAGCAGAATATCAACATGTTGTTACGTTGAAATGGAGGCACTTCTCAATTGTGTGTCAATGTTAATGATCTGACAGAATGTTGGATGTACTGCATCCTGAGCCCCTTTCCAACACTGAGGATGCATTGCTTTTCAACGCGAGAAGAGGATGGTAGTAGTAGTAGTATCATGGCCCGCATTGTTCATCCATCTAAATTTGAATGCCAGACATTGTTGAATAAGCCCCCACTTGTCTCTCCGCAGCGGTAGACGTCCGCTCGTACTATGTATGGATAGGGTATGATTTGGCCAAATATAAGATATCCATCCATACGAATAGCGGGGCGTCACTTTGAGCAAAAGCGGAAGCAAAGCAACCTCAGAATATGCCGGCAGACGGTCCTGACCAAATCTGCTCGCGGTACAGATTTTCGAAGGCATCCAACCCCCCTCTTACGACACGATGGAAGAGAAGGAAGGGATGGTTGGTGGTGGTTAGGAGAAGAAATAATGGACGTCATTATTAATTGGTTAAATTATATGTCAATATCCGTGTGGAAATAAGAATCCCCGACCCGACCAACAGCAGCGACGAGGAAACGGAGAGAAAAAAGAAAACCACGGAAAATAAAACAAGCAAAGAAGAAAAATTTGTTCATCATCGTCATCAGCACATACGCTGCGTAGTCGCACCTTAAAAAGAAAAAAAAAAAAAAAACTCCCCTTTCTCCTGATTTCTGCTAGCTTTTGTGTGGTGTGGTGTGGCCGTCTCCCTCAAAGCGCCACACACCCCGTCATATTCATATAAAGCCCTTCCGGCCTAGCTTGCTCTTCATTGCAGCAAAAAGGAGAAAAAGAAATTACATCTTGCTTGATCCGAGTGTTTTGCTCCACGCGAAACATGACAAACGTGAAGAATAGGAGGGACCCGCAAAAATAACAAACACCTGCTCAACTGCCCGCTCACTGCCCATTGCACATTTATCGCCCATTGCCAACCTGCTCGTCATCACAACCACAGTGGAGGAGAAAAGATAAGGGCATGTACAAGAGTATCTTGCTCGGCTGGTACGGGGAATTTGCCGAAAACAATAATAGCCTTGCATGGAATGGGAAATGGGAGTAGGGCGGTGCTAGCTCGCATAATAAGCAAACAACAAACGAATGTATATCCCATGAGGTGAAGGCGGAACCCCGTCAAATGCAAAATCAAGTGCCACCTCAACTAGAAAAAAAAAAAAAAAGGCAGAAAAACTTTAACAGGTTTAAAACAATCTCTATATGCTCATGGTTGATGCAAACGATCGAAAAGAAGAAAAACGAATGGAAGGGAAAATAACTAGGGATTAAGGGGAAATAAAAAAATAAATTGCGGAAAAATTTCAATGAGCTATAATAAGCCCTCTCTTCTTTGTCCGCATATCCGCATCCCCCGCCGCCATACCGACTCTAGTTTGTACAGTACACACAAGTCCAACACCCATCCATGAGCGTAACGAACGTAATGCAAGGTTGAAAAAAAAAATGGTTCGCGCCATAACAATTATTTTTACTTCCGTGGATGTCCTAGTCGGACAATTTCAAAGCGCCCTTGCAGGAAAATGACAATCACGGAGAGAAAAAAAAAACAGCCTCCGCCAAATCCAACGTGACGGTCTTCCGAGTTATACCACAGTCTGTTTGAAGGATCCGATTTCCTTCAGGGGACATGGTGGAAGGTGAACCGCAGATCGTGCGCGTGAGAGGAGAATCGTGCCTGGGTGCTAGATAATGATACCCGAAAAGCGAGGACCCTAAAAATGCTATGACCAAAAAGGACCAGGGGCATATTTATTGGGAAACGAAAAATTCTCCGTTATAGGTCCGACGATCTATTGGTTCAGCTGGCTGAGCATGTGACCGGTAAACAAGGGCAACTAATTATCCGAGGGGTGATCATAGTAGGACTGATGGTAAAAATCCATGGAGGTGCTGTTGAGAAGCGAAGATAAGAAGGAAAAGAGGTATCCAAAATCATTAAAGTTAAGTATGTCTTTCGAAAAGTAAGTCGCTCAAAGCAGAAATAACAGGAGGGCTCCAGAATATGCCGTGAGTCATTAATATAAATCCGCTATTACTTCAAAATGCTGTTGTGTTCTCGACAGGGGGGCGTTGCCAAGTATTGGTGGGTTTTTTTCGGGAAAGAGGATCATCGGAATGTGATTTTAAATATTAGCGACCTGCTTCGAGGTCTGAGTTGGCACCCAAGGTCTCGCCATCCCAGAGGGATTGAGCTTCATCCACAGGGCTAAGAGATCCGGAAGATATGGAGGAAGACGATCCTACGGTCCATTCATCGGAATCGATGTGTAAATCGCCATGGAAGTTTGCCAAGTCATAACCATGGTCGACTGGCGATTCTCCAACCTCCACATAATCATAGTCCCACCGGAACATCTTATCAGGCTGGACTCGTGGTATGAATTTGGACTTGGCAAAGTAAAACGAAACGGCAGCTAGGAAACCGCCACCAATGAGATCCACTGCGTAATGATGCGAAAGATACATCGTGGACCACCACAGCCAGGCGGTATACATGATAAAGGCGGGTCGAAGCTTGGGAAATATAAGGCTCAAAAATAGAGACTCGAGGGTCGCGTTCCCGGCATGCAGAGAAGGGAAGGCACCAAACGGCACAGGCGATGCCGTAAAACCAGATGTATATATATCGATACCGAAAAGTTCATCAATCCGGGCCAATCCACCAGGTGATCCTGGTATTCCGTAATGTGCAGGAGCTAGTCCATATAGGTTCTCGTACCATGGAGGTGAGCACGGGAATAAAAATTGTATGGTGACGGCAGAAATGCACATGAATCCAAATGTGCGGGCGAAAATTGGGGTCATTCCAGGGGGTCCGAAGATAAATATTATAATGGAGCATATAGCGGGAGCCGCGTAGTGCATAATGCCGTATGGAACCCATGCTAATATGTCTAGGAAAGTATTCTGACGGGCAGAAAGAATATTGCTGAGATTGGCACCATAGAAGATATTTTCGAGTGCTGGAAGCACACGCACCCATATTGGCGGCCGCCAGTCGCTTGGAATAAATCTGTTTTAAAAGGTGTGGGATCGCGTCAGCTCGAATGCATCTCAATTGATACCATACATACACCATCGCCGCCGTCCTCAACGATAAAAGAAAAAAAGAAGTTTTTTTTTTTTTTTTTTTTCGGGGCAAGAAACATACTGGCAGGCATAGAAATAGATTAGCCAAGCAATAATAGGGAGAAATGGTAGGAAGAATTGGCAGCTGATCGGGAAAAGTAAAGACATTATCAACCCAAAGGCGACCAGGGTCTTGGCGAAGGGTCCAGGCGATTCAATGATGCAGAGAGAAAAGATGCCAACAAAGAGGAGTACGAGATATTGTCCATCATATACGCTCCACCGATGAGCCTGTAGAGTCTTCAGCGTGTCGAGGGGCGAGAAGGAGCTATTAAGGGAGGTTATCGATGAGGACGGAGACACGCGACTTCGTAGCTTTGACCGAAGTTTTCGGCGCACGCGGTGGGGGAGAAGCATTTGTATGGACCGCCATGGTATTACAATCTGAACTTTGCCGAAATAATTCTGCGAATTATCCTTCCATGATGGAAGCACAGGGTTCATGACGCCAGCCATTATGGAGAAAGGCGCCGGAGCAGTCGAGGGAACGGGTACAAAGTTGGATGGTATTTAGTCGAGAAGGGCCTAGGTAGGTAGCCAGGGCGAGCGATCTACGGGCGATTAAGCACGACGCAGAAGGCAGACGGCCAATCCGGGCAGCCTAGGAAGGAGCGTCAACGGCTGGCGAGGGACTATATAGCCCTGGGGAGCTGAAGGAAGGAGGAGGGAGTTCGAGGAAGTGAGGATCGCGGTGTGACCAATCAATCGACATCAGGGAGGGAAGGTTGACGCCGTATTGGCTGGGACAGGAGAAGAAGAGGAGAAGCACAGCAGGCTACTACTGACAATCAGGGCACGGGCGGAGAGGACGCGAGAGAGTGAGAGAGACGACATAAGGAAGAGAAGGAGAGAAAGAGAAGGGAAGGGGAAAAAGATGAGGTTTGACACTGGGTGAGAAAAGCGCCTGTGGCTAGCACGAGAGAGGATGAGGTTCGTTCGTTCTGTTCTGTGTACAGTGTATTGTATTTTTGGTATGGCGCGGGTACGGTACGGTGCACTGCGGCCGCTGGTTGGCCTAGCACGGGTTGGCGCAACATCTGTTGTACTCTGGTAGCGGGCTTGGTGCGGTATTTTACAATACCGGATACAACCATACCCAAGCCCGGCGGATGAGGCGGAATCACCGGAGCTCGGGGTCTTTTTTTTTTTTTTTTTTTTTTTGTTTTGTTTTTTCTTTATTTCCTTATCACTTTCTTGATATTCAGATGATATTTATTACTGATAACCTGCAACCTGCATACAAAACTGCTGTGTCTCCTTCTCAGTGCTACGAACGATGAGTTGCTGGACAGAAGCAGCACGATAATATCTATTTGTTCCCCAATCGCCAGCCAGCATTGAGGGCGGGCCCCTTGCAAGGCCTCGCCTCAGGAGTCAGGAGTCAGGACTCGGCACTCAAAAGCTCCTGTCTGGCGCCTCCGAGGAGACTAGAGAAAGCCGTCTCTGTGACGGGGGAGAGAAATGCGAGAACTAGGCCAGTCCCAGCAACCGGGAACGGCATTTTGGCGTCCATGCTCAAGCTACGGATCGAGGAGTGCGGGCTCGCTGGCACGGGATCTTTGTATTCCGTTTCGTTCTGTCTGACCAGGCGCCGAATCCAGCGCTGTCAGCAAGAGCTAGCAACCGCTAGCAAGGAGCTAAGTTAAATGAGCTGCTTGGCAATGCAAGCCGTGCGCCTCCTTGTGGCTTTACGCGAGTTGTGAATCTGTGATAGTTCTGACATTTTTATACTAGACGGACGTACAGGTTTAACCTCTCCGCTTCTATTTGTTCAGAAAAAGTTTTCATAAAAAACGACCCAAGCTGCAGATCCTGATATCAGCGCTATTATTTGCACGATGTGGGTACGGAGTACAGAACATCGCGAAAGGGAGCAAAGAGACCCCGATGGCCGTGCTCTAATGTCTATGTACGGAGGATGGATCCTCCGTATTCGCGTATCTTGCCGGGTTAGAAGGGTCCGGTACACATCTGGATATCTTTCTAGAGGTTAAGCAAAAGGAAAGTTGTCCTCCCTGAGTGCTTGTACTCCGTACAGAGTACTCCGTACAGAATATGTAGATGGGAAATGGGAAACCAGAAAAAGCACCCTTTCTGGATAAGGGCAGAAAATTTCGCGCAAAAATGAGTTAACCTAGAAAAAAAAAAAGCCAATTATTATAAAATAATGACGCCCGTGTCACTAAATCCATCCAGTAATACACACCTGTATAGGCCAATACAGACCTGTCTTCTACGTAATAATAATATACCGCTTCTTGTTGTAACTTATTTTATTGTTCTCACAGCTCGGTTGGTATGGAAGGGAGGAACGTGTGAAAGAGGAACATACGCTCCAACCTTTGATACTCGATGAATGGAGCAAAAAATCAAGTGACGATTCACGCATGATCTCATGACAACCTTTTGATAATGTTCCCTGTCTTGTTAGGATCGAGTTCTTGTCTCCACATCTCTAGTTACGGATTGCCCGGCTATGCAGTTACAAATCACACACAGGCTATTATTTTGCTGCAGCCCACAACGCGACACGACGAGACGGCGGACGACGACATGCGATGACCCAAAAGGGCAATTTCCTCGCATCCATGTCTTTGGTCGGTTTATCCGGGTTTCTCCCAGTTTACATCTGGTGGGTATTGTTCGGTGACTTGATAACCCAACTCAACTGACCAACTCCTTCATGAAACATCTACCTCCGAGTGGTGTTGGTGGGTAATAAATAATGGTTACTATGCATATTCATGTACAGTACATGTACAGTACATATCTGCGCTGTGCTGGTTATGCATATAGGCGGCATCTTGATGTTCCCCATCCTCTGGATATGGATATGCGGGGAGGTTCTGTGTATCTACGCAGCTATCACTATCAGATCACAAAAGGACTTCCATATGGGTATTTTGGCCTGTTCAGAACATGATTTACACACACCAACCACACGGCAGCAGCAGCAGCAGCAGCAGCATGTATAAGCAGGCCGACCGACCACAGGCAAGTCCCATGCAAATAGCGCATTGCATCTTTCCGGGGCGAGAATCTGCGCCGATGGTTGGGCACGTGCGCATCGATCCCAGCAAGCTCGACACATCGCCAGGCCCAAGAACAACCCTCCCCCCTCCGTTCTCTAGGCGCTGAGTCGGATTGGGGATTGAGGGAATATGGGTGCGCAGTTTGGATGGTCGGGATATACAGAGCGCGTACCCCGGACCGTTGCGAAAACTTACCCCGTATCTCCACCAGTGTCAAACAACCCTTGGAGAGCGCGGGGCCCTCAGAAGCCGATCAGGTCTCACTCAATCTACTTATTACTTAACGCAATGTTCCTTGGATAAGCCTCATGGATATTTCTTGCCCAGGTAACTAGGTTTCACCCATCTGATGCCTGGTCACTCACCGCCTTATGTATGTGCATCTACACCGTATGTAGAGCTCCCTTCCCCCCCTCTGCTCCGGCGGGGCAAAAAAGGAGCAAGAACTTTAAAACCTCGAATGAATCAGACAGCGATAAGCCGGGCATGTACACTTCAGTACGGATTTTTGCGTCCTTCTTATTTGCTCCTTAAAATAGGCTCTGGACTAAAACAGAGGAGGGGTAATTTAGCAGATCTACGGGCTGCAGCGATTTCGTTCTGACTTGAACATCACTATTGCGGGGTAAGTAGACTTTTGCTAGGATAAACTGATGAACTCCACCGACATCATACTACATATATAGATTATGTTTTTGCCTATTATTATACGCTCTTCCCAGGTACATGTACAGTACATGTCCATGCCCACGGGGTCGCCGGATAAGAGACGCCGAAAAAATACGGATGGAAATGCTTGCTCCAACGGATACCTCGGAGCAAAAAAAAAAAAAAAAAAAAGGTGCGATTTATCATCCGCTCCCTGGCGCGGGGGCTCTCCATCAGCGCACGCAGCAGCGATGGCAGTTCTTGGTAACTAGTTACATAGTATGCGTAGTTATGCTTAGGTATGCTGAATGTGCTCATCGTACAGTAGCAGAGGCTAATAAGAAGCTCGGCAACCGCGGTGAGCAGCACTCTTCTCCAGGCGGAGCATTATCAGAGACGTTTTTGCCGTGGTTGTTTGATATATATATATATATATATATCCAGATCGATGGTCATCAACATCAATATTCGGCTTCTCGGATCGCATGTCAATCAGGTACTTTAGTTGCTGGAGATCCTGTCTGTTTATCGATGCCCTATACAGTACCGGCCATACACATACATACCAGTTCATCTATGAATCTGACTCCTTAAATTTTCCAACTACCATTTCTTCATCATTTCTGCCGGGCATACATACATACAGCCTTAGTTACCTAGTCTTACCCGGCCGCCCCGATGTTGGGTGACCATATTCCTTTCCGTTGTATGAGCCGACCAGAAAAAGAAGCAGTGACTAATTTGACGGGTATAAAACTAAAATGACGTTCGACGCGCCATAACCATACAGAGAGAGCTTTAACAAAAACGCCGAATAAAACCCGAACAAGACCGTCACCTCCTACTATTATTAGGTCAATAATATTATTCATTCCGTCATCCCGCCCCCCCCTATCATAATTATTTAATAATTATTATTATAATAATAATCGGTAGTTAATAAATGTTCAACCCGAACGAATCGGCCAGCGGATCAAAATAGAACGGGCCCGATGCTTCGTCAGCCACCCATGAGGGTTCGTATTCGCATCGGTTATGCGTAAATTCGAGTGGTTTGCGAATACGAAGCCGAGCAATGCCTGGTCAAAACAGATATTATTTATATATATGTCCATGGATGTCTATCCATGGCGCCCGTGTGCCTGATTACTCGGTTTTTTATTTTTATTTTTATTTTATTTATTTATTTATTTATTTAAATTTTTGCTCAGTTTGATCAGGGGACCCTTCGTTTGTTGAAGAGTTTCAAGAACGGACAATGTTATCATGCCGACGTTGATGATGCCGTTAGTTTCAAAACACCAGATGATTAGTGACATCATGTCATGGGAGGAAGGGGGAGCGTTTCGAAACGTGCTCATGGCTCATCTGAGGAGAGAAACCAAGACGCGCTCACGATGGAGTAGAGTCGGTTATGCTTGGGCAAAGTTGGGGAGGAAGGATGGCACGGGCGGGCGGTTGGCAATAAGATCCAAGACCTGTCGTCGCGTGCCAACATTTTAAACTATACCAGGTTAAGGCTTCAGGGTGGGTGTTTGACATTCATAGGGCATTTATTCTCGAACTTGTTCTCCATATGTAAAGTTGACTGACGAACAGTTTGGCTGAGTTGAATCATATCATTCATGCATGTATGTCCGGTTATTTGTACAAACCATATATAAGGAAAAGCAAAGGGGATATGTAAGAAAATGGTCTAAAGAAGGGAAACCCGAAAATTGCCTCCTCCACCTATGAATCGAACCCTCGGTCATGTGTTATCATCCATGTTCCCTTCCTCAGCTCAAAATCTCCCCACCACTAGCCGACCCTTTAGGTACAATAGGAATCAATGATGGCCAAGCCAATGATTTCCGCCGCAAGTTTCTGCAGCTTCTTGTAATAGTTCTTCTTCTTCCGGCTTCCCTTTCCGCGGCTAAGTAGTAGCTTTGCAGCGTTCTTGTAACCACCAACCTCGTCAATGGTCTCCTTGAGCTTCTTTAGTTTCCTCAACTTGCCCAGCTTAGCTATGACGGCGTAGTTCTCAACGATAAAGTAGGCAATAGCACCAGCGCACTTGGTGACACTCCATACATCATCCCACCAACGGGCGGTAATCGCTTTCGAGTGGCCCTTATGTTTCTTCAACCACTTCTCCGTCGCATCGGAGCCCTGTTCAAGCACATTATCCGGGATTTCGCTCATGAGCCTGAATGCCTCTTCGAGTTCTTGGGGGCTTAGTTGCTTGAGGTCATACTCGTCAATGTCGCCATCGTCGTCGATGTCAAAATCGTACTTGGAGTCTCTGCCGGGCTCCGGTTCGGGATCACGCTTGACAACGTTCTTGGTTGAGCCGAGATTGTTGCCATTGAATTCGGGGAAGGTACCGATTGTGGCAGCGTTACACCTGAGAACAGATGAATCACCGTGGGGAGGAGGTAGGGGATGAGGTGAGGCAGCATTTTCGGCTGAGTAGGCTTTTGTGCCTTTAATGCAATTTAGGAGTGGAAGTACTGTGTATGTGGTACAAGGTAGGAGATCAGAAAGGTGTTTGCCTCTTGAAGCGGGAAGGGCGATCGCTTCTTGATCAGCTAGGTGACTTGTCTTCTAGCTGCTGCTTCTGATGAAAAGATAGAGCTTTCGAGGGTGAAAGAAGCATCCTTATATAGCTTTTCTCGCGATATTGGAGCAGAGAGTGTAGTTCTCTTCGCACCTTCTTCCCGTCCCCTGAATTGTGATATCCAAAGCAGATACGAGACTCTGCCTCAAACTAATCCCAACTCCAATTCCATCTCATGAAGCTATTCGTGACGACATATAGAGGTATCGTATTGACCCCATTTCTTTGCAAGGTGGACCAATCTCCACTAAAGAAGTAGAAATGAAATCTCCACAACATTCAAGAAAAAACAAAAAACAAAAAGGAAAAAAGAAAAACAAAAATGAGAGACATTACTCTTGAAAGTCAAAAGCAAGAATTAACAGCGCAGCACTGCCTCGATTATGCAGTTCGCGTCCATCATAAAACATCATTTTTGGTGCCTGTCCCTGGACGCCGAGAAGTTGAACGGGGCTATACTTCCAAGATGCTCCCATTGTTCGATGTTCTTGAAGCAGGAAAGCTGCACCTGGCGATGATCGCTCTCGATCGGGGCTCGTATCTTGCTCAAAGAAGTAACGATTATCTTAAGGACAGCACCAAAAAGGGGGATGGCCAAGGTTTTATACGATGGCCAGTCTTCGCGATCGCCAAGTTCCTGCCGCTTTCGGAACAACTGAGCTTGACAAAAGCTCGATTGGTTTGGCGGGAAGTGTTCATGCATGAAACAGCGTGCTAAGCGGCGCCTGCTGCCCGTAATGTGGGGGGATGGGATGGAGCATGGCACTCACTCCCCCACGATCGCCTATCCAAGCCACCTGGACTAACCCGATGTGGTAGCTGACAGCATGATCTTGCATCCAAGTCGAAGTTTGCAACGCGAAAAGTGGAAAATGTAGATAAAAATAAGTCAGTGTAAAATAGTATGGCTGTCATTTGTCAAGAATGATTTGATCTTCGTTGTGTGTTCAAGCTCATGGTGGAATCTGTCAATGCTCAGCCTTCCTCACTAAGTGACTGCAAGCACTTATTAGTCTCTTGGTTTTGCTTCCTCGAAGGTGCTTTGCTGCGAGACGCGTTAAATTAAAGGGGTGTCTGAATTTCTTGTCCTCTGATAATATAATCGAACATAACGAGGCAGGAGGCAGAACAGCACCAAGAACAGGAAATGCAGTGGTTGGTCCGCTCCAAGCTGCTTAATAGGTGGAGCAAACTCGAAACACCGACATAGAGTCGTTCGCCTCCACATTCTCGATAGTTCGCTGTTAACCGAATGCCTCTCATATCTGATGACATAGTCGTCCCTGCTAACCTGTCAATTCATCATCCCAGCCGAGATTCCTATTTTTACCTTCCTCTTTTAGCTCGCCCAGCGGCGATCTTCACATTTTCCGCTTGTGTCTCGCTTTCATCCGCAAGATTTTTCAGGAATTTGGTTTCCGGTTTCCCATATCCCGGTCCTTCAAAGCCAGATCATTTGCTCTTGCGAGTTGCCCTACAAGACGGCGTTGGGGCGTTTCCATGGCCAGCATCATTGGTAGCTAAAATTTTAACAACCTCCGTTTTGAAGAATCATACAACTATGTTCCATAGCCGTGTTTCTAATTTTGATCGGGGCATTTCTGATGCTTTGCGCCGTGTGGACGAAATGTTCCTAAGACCTTAGACATTGGTGCACTGTTCAAGCTCAAGGGAAGACATCAACTCGAAATTGTGGATGTCACCCTCCTCCCAGTCGTTTGGATCTTTCGTCCTCTGTAAAAGAAGTATAAGGGGTAAGATTCTCATCGACCATGTCCAACCAACTATGACGATCTCTTCGGTAAATATTTCCAGCTCCTAGGATATTCTAAGAGCGGATGATGGCCCTTTATGATTCATGCGATAGTCCGGATGCTCCTGGGGCCAGGAGGACTTCAAAGGCGCAATCAGAGGGCAACATCTCAATGGCTGAGAATATCTTGCCCACGCTTAGGTCCACCAATCATAGATATTCTTCGCAAATTTGTACTCCATCCACTTTTCCATTCTAGCCTTAGAAGTGAAGTGGAAGGAACGGATAGGTTGCCTGTAGTGGTGACCTTCTGCCCCTCAACAATGGGGTAATGGCGCTAGATTCTCACTGCCCTATACCCATGCGAAATTAGGAAAGCTAAGATTTCCCGGTGAAGCTCATATTCATGTTTCGCTGGCAGAATAGGTTCTACAACTGCTCTGATTGCAAGGGCTACGATGTGAGCCTTCTGTCGGTCCGCTAGTTAAGTGCTGCATTCATTTAGCATGTTAAGAATGCAAAGTACATGTAGTACGTAGCCGTAAATAAAGATGTCTTCAGAATATCGCACAGAAACAGGCTCTATTTTGCGGGGTTGATCTTCCGTGGATGCCGAACGCTTGAAACCCATAGCATAGTTAGACCACGGGCGAGGGCTCGATGGTAGGCATAGAATTATTTCAGTATTCGTTGACACTCAACGAAAACGTCCACAGTCTCGGCACGCATTGCAAATGTCTTCGCCAATAGGGAGATCAGTCGAGCAATACTTTAAATGACCTGGCTTCCTCGTTGCCTTGCAACTGCTGGCAAAGCATTGCAAATGTATCGAATCTACCAGAACAGTCTGCTCATTCTCAAGCAAGGTTCCGCAGGGACACTTGCCTGCATCGTCAACGCTCAACTCCGACGTACACGTATAACTAGGTTCCCATGGTTTCAAGAAGAAGCTCATACCGTGGATATTGTAAGGTATGTAGGTATGTATGTTCCTTCCTTGGTTTTTGGTCGCTTGGGATACCACTTGAAATATCATCGAGGTCCATTTCAGGATCAAGAGAGAACGGTGACCCCCTTTTCCTGCAAGTAGGGAACTAATCGTGGCGCAAAGTATTCTTGGGATCAAACCCGTTCCTTCTTCTGACAATAATGCTCTCTCGATGGGATCCGCTTGGAGGCTTCTGTCTGGTGCGGAGCATGTACGCTGCGTAGGTAATAGGCGCGAGCGCTGTGCTAGCGCCCGTAACTAGGTGGATTTTCGACTTGACGCGATCGCTTTCAACCTCCGAAATGCTCGAATGAATCTGGCAAGAAGTGCATACGGATGCATCCCAAAAAAAGCCCAGTTAGGTCAAAGTGAAGGGAGAAGGTTGTGGGAGTTCATTCAACACTGATCCTAGAAAAACCCTGCAGAGATGAAGAAGAATAACTACCAACCACCCACCTAGGGGAGAGTACTCCTAAATAAGTCATCCACGAATACGAAGGAAAGCTTTAATCAGGAAGCTGGCAGCAAGTACTGAAAATCTTTGATCATGACATTGGACTTTGGCGGTAGTTAGTCAGGTAACTAACTGACTAACTTACTACTTCATTATCATACAGGTGCAAGCTTGCTGGTCAACTGTGATTATCCGGCTGGCTGCTTGATGCTCTATCTCCCTTGCTGAATCACGACACCAAATCAGGAGATTCGCAGGAGATCCGGGCTGTTTCCACCTACAGTTGGTCAAAACAGCTAAGTTAGTGGCCTACGCTGGTATCGAAAAGGCCAAATTCCACGTCACTATAACTACGTGCCAGTTAAATACAGGGCTAACTAACTACACAGTCCAATAACTCACCCCCACACTCAACGAGTTCATAAGACAGCGAGTAGTATTTGTATATCAATATATCATTGGATTCCTTGCTTCACAGCTTCTTCTTTCCGGGTTCTTCTCTGGGAATTCTTGGGGAAAGACCCCCTGGAAGGGAGCTGGGAAGTATTGGTATCCTGTTAACTGTCCTCTTGATTCTCAACACCGACCAACCATCAACACATCTGCTTGAGATGGCTCACTGATCCATCACTTTTTCCTTGTCAAAGTCCTCACTCAACGTTTGTCGCTTCCAAAAGTTCGGGTTGAGATTATCAACTTCTTATTCGACAATGCTGCACGGCAAAGATGACATCCAATACAACTGGATCAATGGTGCGGAGTCCCTTGAAAAATATAAGCCCGGGGGCTATCATCCTATCATGATCGGGGATATGGCGATACCGCGTGGTGGACAAACTTGGTTTTGGAGGATATTCAACGGTTTGGTTAGCTCAAGATATTCTGTTAAATCGCTATGTTGCTGTCAAAGTTGGGATTGCGAACTCGCATCCGCATGAGTCGAAAATTCTCCGGGCCCTCTTGGTACCACAACCATCGTCTTTGTCCACACACCCAGGACGCAAGTCAATACTGTTACCTCTTGATGAATTCGAGCTACGCGGCCCTAATGGGACTCACCCATGCTACACAATGACTCCTGCAAGATGCAATCTTCGAGAGAAGTCTCTTTCAGCCGCCTGTTTCCTCTTGAAGTTACGCGTGCTCTATCAGCTGGCCTCACACTAGCTATTGCATATATGCATTCACAAGGCTATGCTCATGGAGGTTTGTCTTATGCAATTGCAGTTCTTGATACAAAAATCTATTCTAAGTAATATCTGGAGTATTTTTTATTTAGACATCTACCTTCGCAATGTCTTGGTTAAACTACCATCAAGCTTTGATCAGCTTCCCATCGAGCAGCTATATGAAACATACGGCAAACCGCAGGCAGTCCCCATTACACGGTGTGATGGGAAACCACCATCTTTGTAAAGATGCGGAAGAATTCTCATTGTCTGACACCAAGCTGCTCCTTAGTGACTTTGGTGAAGCATTTTCTCCAGCCTCAAATGTCTGCCTTGGAGAAAATTCCCACATGCCATTAGCTATGCGGCCTCCGGAAGCACGATTTGAACCGCAGTCTCCATTATCATTTTCAGCAGATATTTGGAGTCTAGCCGTAACAATTTGGGAAATTCTTGGCATGAAGGCGATTTTCAGTAGAGAATTGATAACTGCAGATGAAATTGTCTCTCAGCAGATCGATGTGCTGGGACCAATGCCCTCAAGTTGGTGGGAGCGGTGGGATGAGCGGGAGCAGTTCTTCAACCGTGATGGACATCCAAGAGAAGACCGGGATGTGTGGCCTCCAATCAACGAAGCGTTCGAGGAAGGCATACAAGGATACCGTCGAAAGCGTGGAATGGGCGTGTTTGAAGGGGATGAAACGGCCGCTATCCTCGATTTGATGCGTCGAATGTTAGTATTCCCGCCGGAACAGCGACCAACAGCTGAGGAAGTCCTCGAATCAGAGTGGATGGTTAGATGGGCGCGTTGCCTGCATTCATAGCTGCGAGATGAAACTAATCGGAAATTTATGAAGAACATGTTGTTTTCAATGAGATCGGGTGGGGTATACATACCCCTTGCACCATTTCTTTTGAATTTCCCAGGTTTCCGTTGCAACCAAAAAATCCACATAAGTTCCCCCTGCGGACAGAGCGTCGTACGCCATACCATACGTTGCTAAAACTCGAAGCGTGTTTGGCCAGGATCTTGGGAACTCGCTGAGCTAGCTATCGATCAAGTCGATTTTAAGATGCCTTTGGAGCAACAAGGAAAGTCGGATCATCATGAGCTGGACAAAGGTCCAGGAGCAATCCGTCTCTCTCATGTGGCCTATGCCGTTGAACCAGCGTACATGACCATGTCATCTTATGGGGTACCATTGCTGGTTTGAGGGCGCCTGGGAGGACGCATCCCTCGACAGGAATCTTAATATGTGTTTGCGCTCAATAATCTTAGCGAATGAGGACAGCGTTTGAATTTAGTGTTTGATACATGTGTGATAAGACAAGAAGAACACCCTTAGGAAGACTAATAACTGAGAAAAAAAATTATGTACATGTACATGAACAGAAAAGGGGAAAAGAAAGGTTATCATAAGTTGGTATCATCATCATTTGCCCCACTCATTTGCAGAACAAAAATATCGTACTCTCCTACTTCCTTCCAGTTAGTTCACGTCCATTTACGGTTAACACCCTTCCCTGAAAAAATCATCTCAAGATTTCTCCCCTTTCTCCATCCCCACCTCCTTCTCAAACCCATTATTCCCAGCCTCAGTATCTTTAACGTCAACCGTACTATCCGTATCCACAGCCGACCTTTCAACAGCCCCAGCCGCCTTCGCCTGCTCAAACTTCCTCCCCCTCTTCTCCGGCCCAAACATAGTCGTAATAACAATCCCTATCGCAATAATCGCCGTCGCAACACCCATCGTCGGCCCATACGCCGGCGCCGGTGTCCCCTTCGAGCCTCGAATAGTAATCGCCTCCGCAATCGCATTGACAATCTGCGCCGAGGGCGACGAGATCATGTTTCCGAGCTGGTACGTGACGCCGGGGAAACTGGAGCGGAATGCCGGCGGGGATAACTCGTTGAGATGGATGGGGATCACCCCCCACGCGCCTTGTACGAAGAATTGCATAAAGAACCCGGACGCGGAGAGGTTCCGCTCGCCTTCCGGGAGGATCCAGGCGGGAATCAGCAGAGCGCTCATCAGCGCAGATATGATAATGGTTCGCCGACGGCCGATGAATTGGGACATGTAGCCGATGATGGTGCCGCCGACGCAGGCGCCTACTTTCATCAGGATGCTGGCACGGCTGGCTCCGGCGTTATTCAGGCCCTTCTGGGTGAGCATGAAAGTTGTATAGCTATCCTGCGACGTGTGGCTGTAGTAGTTGAACCAGGTCATCAAGATGATGCAGTAGACCACCATGCTCCGTTCCTTGAGGAGCATGGCCTTCGTCTCGCGCCAGAAGGTTCCTGGGGACGTTTTGTGCTTCCCGGCCTTCTTCGCTTCACGGAACTGTTTAGATTCCGGGAGGAAGACGCGAATAGTCCCAGCGAGGAAAGAGAGGCCTGCTCCGATCCAGAAGACGGTCTTCCATGACTCCGTCGAGCCGCCGACGCCCAGGTTGGCGCATGCTGCGAAGACATAACCCATCGAGTACCCCTGTTGCAGGACACCGGACATGAGCCCGCGGGCGTCTACGGGACAATTCTCCAGCGCCATGGCCATAGCATTGCCATAGACGCCGCCCATGAAGAGGCCGAACAGACTGCGCACGGCTAGGAATTGATGAAAGGTAGCGCTGTAGATAGTGGCTATCTGCAAAAAGCCCAAGACAGCCATGTTGAAGACCATGGGCCATTTCCTCCCCCACTTATCACCCGCCAAGCCAAAAAAGGCCGCGCCGACGGACCGGAGCAGCAGCGTGAGCGTGATGGCGGTGGAGATGGAAGTTTTTGTCTCGCCATAGTACCTGGACAGCTTCACGGTCTGGATGGATAGGGCGTGGAAATCGAAGGCGTCGGCGCACCAGGCGAAGAGACCCACGACAAAGAACAGCCAGTCCCGTGCAGCGAGTTGGGCGCAGAGGCTGAAGGGGTTTCGGAAGCGTGGTGGATCTTGCCATTCGCAGTATGTCTCGCCTTCGGCCGTAATCACCTCGACACGCATTTTCCAGCGGAAGAGGTCGCCTAGGGCCTGCTTGGCGGTAGGAAGTATGCCCTTGGCGAAGGGGTCGGCCGGCTGGTTGCCTGACATATTCTTTTTCTTTTTTCTTTTTTCTTTTTTCTTTTCTTTTTATTCCTCTTAAAGACTTCTCTCCGCGGGCGTATAATTTTCTTGTTTCTCCTAGTGTTGTTCGGATTTGGAGCAGCACAGGGGAATTGCCTAGCGACCAAAGATAGTAAGGATGCGACTCTGCTCCAATAAAAGGCAAGGAAGGAAAGAGCGGGGCCAGCCGATGAGAGGAGAAGAGAAGGACACGGACAAGACGGGAAATGATATTTTTTTTCTTTTCTTGGTCCGATAGCCTACTTTACCGGTGTCACAGGCTTATTATATATGTCTAGAGAGAGAATATTTTCATATTTCTAGAACTGGGGGAGCCGGGATTGTGAAGAGAGTGTGGGAGGGGGGGAGGTATATATCACCACCATATTTGACGTTCAGGTGTAGTAGACGGCGCAGCGGCAGAATTAATCGATTTGGTACCAAGTTTCCGTAGGATGCTCGGCATCAAAAGGTTGAGACCTGCCGGAAATGCAAATTGGGTTTTGTGTACCACCGGACAGTGTGGTTGGTGAGACGGTACGGAGTTCTGGCAAGGCAAAAAAGCACCGCAGACATGATCGACCGTTGGTGCTAACACAACAGCAGCCCACATGCACTCAACCCCGTTAAACCACGGTGCAGAGTAGGATTGGAAGGAGTGATTTGATCTTCCTCCGAAACCTAAGCCTAGAGGGGTGTGTTTCCTGCTGGCATTAACTGGCCTAATATATTTGCACAAGATGGGCAGTGCATCAATATGCGTGCATATCCACACATGTATCTGATAGATATTCAATTCAGTACATTCAGTATTCATATTGTTCAAGTCTAAGATATATAGTTAAACTATATATATATTATGTTAATGTAATGTACGGAAACAAGCCTTTCTCGGCGCAGCGGGAAGTGCCAAGCAATTGCCAAGCCTGGCGGCAAGATCCACCGAATCCAAGGTTCAAGAGCCCAGCCTGAGCCAATCAGAACGCAGAGCCCCAGCTGGCCCCCACAGACTCCATTGCTTGGCGGTCTATGGATCTTGTTGCCAGTTTATTCTTGCTTCCTCCGAATCCTCCCCAGCTTTACTCCGCTTGAAGAAAGGAATTTCATAATTCATGGGATCCCCGGCCTTGAATATGCCCGAGTTGCGTCCCAGCCCCGACACCAGAGCTGGCAACAGGTGCCGGAACAGCAAGCAGAGACACGGGTTGCGGAGTTCCAACACTCCCCCGTCTCCGTCTACCGTTCTTTCCAAGGGAAAAGCTCCCGAGAGGGCCGCGAAGGGAAAAAAAAAAAAAAAAAAAAAAAGATGGGAAAGCCGGGAAAGCCGGGAAAGCCGGGGTAGGGTATATGGGCTAGAGG